CGGCGCGCGTCGCGTCGCATCGGAGCTTACGGTTTCATACGACACGTATCGAAAACTACCCACCACCTACGACCTTCGCTCACTTCCGGAACGAGAGTGAGAAAAAGAAGAAGAAATCCGTGTTAATCATGTCAACACAGGAACAAAATGAGTAATTTAATGGGAGTTAACGGTGTAGAGAGACGGAGTTACCGGGCGTACAACCAACCGCCTTGCGCGATTTGCAACGTTTCTGGCGCCGACTGCCATGCCGGCTGCATCAGACCCTGTGCAGTACTGGCGTGCTGAGGAAAAACGCCGTATGAGCCGTCAGGCGGTGCCAAATTTCCTTCCAAAAATCACGAATTTTCAAGGAAATTTGTGAGTATTATAAAGTATTTGTGAGTATTATAAAGTATTTCGACGGTGAGACTACCAAACCACGTATCTCGGTTTGCGACGTCGCAGACTTCCTGTCATACTTTATTTTTTAAATAAAAAACTACTTAACGTCTAGTCTTGAAAATTTCTGTGATTTTTCCTCTTCGTGCGGAGAAAATTCTGTGAAAATTTCAAGGAATGATATTGATTTGGTCGACTTCAAAAAAATAAAATGCGAGCGTAGATTTTTAAACACCGCAAACAAGATACGTGGTTTGGTAGTTTCACCGTCGATTTGTGAGTATTATTAGTGTTGTTATTTTAAATCATTTACTGATTGAAGTTATTAGCTTTTTTAATTGTTGATCCATTGATTTTAATTTCACTTTTCGAGAGGATACTTGGCAACACTGGAATGCTCATATGGTGTTTTTACTTTGCACGACAGAGTGGTCCAGGGTTGCCGTTAAACCACCACCTTCAAATTACCTGACTTTTTCTCAACTTTTTTCTTCTTTTCCCTGTCTCCGAGATTTTCTGGTTCCCTGACTTTCCAAGACTTTATCCTGAATTTTCTTGACTCTAAAATTATCTAATTCCCACTTTTCCTAATTTTCGAGCAAAATTTCCTCCTATCTTTTAATTTTTTTAAAAAATTGTTCGGATACTTGGACTTTTTATAAACCTGGGACGAAATTTCTTTGTTTAGAGGTCAAATTATGGAAAAGGGCAATCAGAGTCTGATTGAAAAAAAGATGAGCCTTAATACTAGCAAGAGGGTAGAAGAGAGAGAGACTAGCAAGGGTAGAAGTTTGAACGATCAGTGATGAGAAAATTTGTCAGGAATTCCCGGACTTTTCCCACGAATTCCCTGCTTTCCCTGATTTTCCCGGTTTTCAAGACCGCCGGCAACCCTGAAAATTCTTCGGGGTGGCTTCGCAATTCTCCACGCGGTTTTTAACGACATTCTTCGCGCTCGCCGCGCCGCGCCGCCACCATCGCGGTCTCGTGCTCGCCGACGCACAGTGGATCGAGCCAATTAACGAGGTCGGACATACAATTTTTGACTAAAACTGCAAATTTTGATGTTTATTTCGTCATATCTTATATTTCAAGGGGTGTTATTACAGGGAAATTTTACGAGGAAACGAACGAAACAACTTTTAGAGCTACAAAGTTGTGTTTAAACGGAGTTATGAGCGTTTAAAGTTTCTAAATTTTGTCCGACCTCTCCTATTGAATCCATCCACTGTGCGGCGCTTGGGATGACGTGAGCCGCCCGCGCAGATGCCGTACAATCCCCGTAAACAATTCCGCCGTGCTAAGGAAGAACGCCGTATGCGCCTTCAGACGCTGCCAAGTTTCCTTCCATAAAAAGTATATTTTTTTCCCAAAATCTTCAGAGAATTTTGCACGCAATTTAATCTAAAATATCTGAAAATTTCAAGGAAAAATATGCATGAGTGTCGTAATTTTTCTAGGTTAAACGATGTCAACTGAGGTAACCGAACTGATATTAATCAACGGAAAGTGAATAGTTTACGTTATTTCGACCAGGTATAACAAGTAGCAATAACATTGTAACAGATATGGATAAAAGGAAACATATTCGATACAATTTTATTTTTCTGCTGTGATGATATGCTACTTACTAATATGTAAAATTAATACTGAAATTTAGACAAATATTTCTAAATAATAACCGCTCAGAAATAAAACATTCGTAATAATATAAACTCCCGCTTCCCGAGTAACCAGCACTTATCAATTCAGAACACGAAGGTTAACAACTGTTCGAGGTTCCCGGTTTCTGACCTTGAAAGTTTCACTTTTAAGTGAAACATTCACACCTCCTTCCTTCAATAGTTGCACAAAATGCCCTGGATAGTTGCGCCGCTGTTGAGAGAAGGCCTAAGTGAAACATAAGAATATCTTCTCGACCCTTTCGCCACCCGGCCAGAACTCGGTTTTTGCGCCGCGAACTTTAATTAATTACAACAACTTTCCAGTCTTGCCCCCCCCCCCCCAAAAAAAAAAAAAAAAAATAAGACCAAACATAAAGGGAAAGGGGAGCCGGGGGGTCAGAAATACCGAAAACATGCGTTACATAATTCATGAAAGCACCGGAAGTGCTACCACGGAAGAAGGCTGCGAAGAGAACTTGTCCGCGATTAAATTCCATTTTAAAATTGTACGGACTCTCGAGAATATGGAGATGTTCCTTTTCGGATGGAATTGCGAATAGAATTCCCGAAGGAGTTCCGGGCGAGGGTGGTGTTTTGAAGGCGGCAGCGGCGAATGTAAGCTCCTCTCGGTCTGAGCGGTGGAGAAAGAGTCCCGGGAAGATGGGGAATGGGGGAGGGATGAACCTAGGAGCGTGCCAAGAAATAAAACACGCGCAAACAATCGTGTTTTCGGGCGGCGGCGTTCGCTCCGAGTTCCTGGCGTGCTTAGAGGGGCTCGCTAAAATTGCAATTTATCGCCGCTCCAAAACGCCGATTTTCGCTCCTCTGCTGGAGTGTGAGCGGGAGATAGCGCTACGAATTGGACGTATTCATCCTAAAAGGAACTATGCTGCACACAAACCCTATGCACATAGTTCCTTTTAGCCTAAATATGTCCAATTGCGCCATGCTTGCGAGATGATGCCGCTCGGGAGTTGAAAATTTCGTCATTTCATAACAACACCCCGTCCATAAATTACGTAACGCTTTTCCGGTATTTTTGAACCCCCCCCCCCCTTGGTAACGCTTTTGTGACGTAGGTCCCTGACCTTTAACACGTAAAAACAAAATGGCTTAACGCTTTCCTCTACTAGAGTCCCTTTATACTGAGAGTCGAGACAACACCCCCTCATGGAGTCACAAACGGGAATAAAGATTACAGAAACTGAACGATTTTCGTGATCTCTGATCGGCCCATTCTCAAATTCCTTTCTCCGTTCCTTCTCTCATTCCGTTTGTTCCTTGCCGAGCCCGTAATTTCCTGGTCCATTCCAGATTATGATCTTTGCAATCGATGAAAATGTAATCTTTATTCCCGTTCGTGACACTGTGAAGGCCTAATATACAGGAACCAATCAGAAATGGATTCACATTGTCTTGACTCTCAGTATAAAGGGACTCTCTATCCTCTACCCCCTCCAGCGTTACGTAATTTAGGACCGGCCCCAAGAGAAAAATCCTCAATTCATAAGAATCTTCAAAAGATACAAAAAAAAATATTTTCAATTAAACTGACTCGATGCAGTTGATGTACCAAAAGCTTGGTCGATCAACATAAGTGCTTTTAGTTGATCTGACCAAAAAAAAGTAACTCATAAAGCCATAAAACAACAGAAAAAAAAAAAAAAAAAAAAAAAGTAACTCATATAAACCCCAGCAACCATAAACAAAGGTTGAACTGTGCAAGAATGAAAACCAGCGAGCTTTGAACATTTCATGACTTTGGCGCAACGAAGCACAGTACAGCGCGGCAATGATAGAGGCCAGACAAAATGTGGAAACTTTAAAGCTTGGAACTCCTTTAAAAAAAACTTTGAGGTATTAAAAGTGGCTCTATTGGTTTTCTCGTAAAATTTTTGTTGCTAAGCACCCTTTTAAATTCGGAAATTGACGAAAGAAAAATCAAAATTTGCAGTTTTATTTTT